GTTTCTTTGAAAGAGGATGTACACAGCCTCCCTAACCTTTATTTTCCTGGTGTTGTTACCATATGAAGCCAGTCTTTCCGTTGCATTCCAGTCAATTGTGTAGCCGGTAAGAGTGATGTGTTCAACTATCTGCGATCTTTCCGTATCCATTATGCTGAATAGTCACTGGCGTTCTTCGATCCTTGTGCTGATTGTCCTTCCCGTCCCTCCGATGTATTCTTGTTCACAGTCCTTGCAGTTTATGCTGTAAACTCCGGAGCCTTCCATTTTATTCACTTCTTCATGTTGTGCGTGCATGCTAATAAGATCGTTATCCCTTCCTTCAGGATTGCACGAATGTTCCATTTCTCTATTATTGGCAGTAGCTTTCGAGCCAATTCGCAGAAAGGTAGACTTGTCCATCGTTTTTCCTCTGTATTAGTTGGTTTTTTTTCATAATCTCCGTCCTTTCATTCATTCATCACCATCCTTATGTCGCGTTTGATTGCTTCTTCTGGATATTCGTTTCCAAAAAGCATCTCAGTTAGCTTTCCCAATTCCTCTTTCCAGAAATCTGAATCAGTCAGTCGTAAGCCTCTTATAAACATACAACGTAGTATTCCAATATTCATCCCATAATTATGGTTCGACTGTAAGTTAAGAGTTATTTCATCATGCGATTTATTTCAGAAAAGTTTTTTTCTTGAGATTCTCCTCAGAGCAAATGACCTCCGCATATAAGAAAGGTAAGTGTCCATTATCTTCTATATCCAAGATAAATTTGAACTTTTCATCCATTTCGTTAATGAGGATCAGAAAATCGTCTAATTTTTCTCTTTCATACAACCAAATTGCGAATTAGTCATCCAAATATTACATAATTACTGTTGGCTGCTGGGGTGAAATTTCAAAATTCTCCCCCGCCTTGTCCATGAATAAATTAGCCAACAAATGAGAGTAGTGAAACCATAGGACGACCAAATATTTCCTTATAGATGTGGCAGTTAAACGTGAAATAGGTCGTTCTTATTGTAAGGTTGATTAATCGGGTTACAGCTATTCTACGTATTCACTTTGTCTCCAGGATGTCATTTTCTTTTTCCAAGATCTCCACTAGTGTGATGAGTTCTTTTCCTCCTGTAATGGACTGTACATCTGGGCTCACTAAAAATGTGTTTCCCTCTGATCTTTCGCCTTTAATTTCTTTGAAAAAGTCGTATGAGTTCTTCACTGTATTCGATAATTTGCAATTCACTTTCTTAAATTTAATCTCGACTAAGACGCCAGCGAATCATTTGGTAATGTACCCAGCCAATGGTGCAATGCTGGAAATCACGACTACTATGACAGAGGACAGGGGACTATGTATATTCCACAAGGTCTCACTGACAATCCGACCAGGTTGCGAAAACAAGGTCAAACTAACACTATCAGGAATCGAGTTTATTTTTAGACACCTTTCGAAATTGAGGCAAACTGGAGCCAAATAAAAACGAATTTTAGTGGATAAGCAAATAATTTTATGCTAGACCAGAATGGAGATTATTAAATACAAGCCTTATTCAGAGATGCAGATTATAAAATATCCATAGAAATAATCCGAGTGATGGGTTCAAAGTGAGCGGGCCGAAACTAAGACATACAAGTAATAGTTTTATTTTATCTAAAAAGAATTTTACTCTATTTCATGAGCATTCAACACGTCTTCTTGGCAATCTCATCAATTTTGCCAAGAGAATGGGTCAGCTTAGACATATTGCGTAGTCGTGGTGTTTTCGAGGGGTTTGCAGGAGTGTGCAAGAGGGCAGTGCAGATCTGGTAGATCCGGCTTAGTAACGGGACCGAGGAGAACTCTTGGTAGCTTCATTACAAAGCTGGCTTGAAACTGGAGCTCATTCATGATCGAAGGTTAAGCTGCATTCTGCTTGTTTATTCATAAAAATGAGATGCACTTATTCACTTTTTACACACATTGATCAGTTTAGCAACTTTCACCCCCAAGTATGGATCAGATAGCCCGCACTAAAAAGTAGATTCAGCCACAAAGACAGAAATGAGATCCATTATGTGATGAGCAGATCAATTGGTGAGTGTGTAGGCCGGTCTCAACCTGCCAGCCCAGCAAACGAAACTGTCATTTCGAAAAGTACGCGTAAACAGGGCTTGTTTGTCTGATTCTTTCCCGTAACTAGTTTAAGTAAGTCAAGATAGACGTCAGGCGTTTTCATAACGAGAGTCTACACTTCGTTAGTCCAGGCAGCAGCTCTGGCTGAAGATAAGTTGAATAAACTATTAGATAGTTTTCGTTTCTTCTAGGTTTCCGAGATAACCAGTAAATAATATAGTAACATTATAGTATTAAATATTAGAGGCGTCGCTGAAAGCGCCCACTGACTTCACGTGTGTACCGCATTAGGCAATTAAGGGCCAGCCATCCTGTAAGATCCGGTAACTCGAATAGATTCTCACTATAGATGTGAAGCTGGAGCTGTCTATTATGCCCTGAAAGTCGTACCTCCCATGAAGCCAAAAGGCGTCTGGGCTGTGCAATCACCAGGCTGCCGATTTGCTTCTGAACCCACACCACGTGGGTTAGAATGCAGTTTAGAGCCATGCGCAAAGAGAGAGGAGACCGAAATCTTCGTCGAACATGGGAGAGGAAGTATTAGGGATGTGACAAAAAAAGGTCTGAAAGCATTCCCAGGCTTATAATTGTTGGGCTGAGCAGTTATTGATAAGTTAGTGAGTCTTCTTGACTATCTAGCCTGAATATGGTTATAAGAATGACACCCAGCTTTGATGATGCCCGTCATATGACGTAAGAAGTCCTAGCATGTTTTCGTCGGACTTGAAGGAGACGACCTTGTGGATAATGACAACAAGAATGCACCAGTAGGGCTAACCGACATCTGCAAAAGGCGAATCCGCCGTCGTCTTCAGGTGATATCCACACCCGTATCTCTTCATTACACATATTACCACGAAATGAAAGTTAGTTCAACAATGTTAGGGGCATTCCAACTCGTCTCAAGGTATATCACAGAGAAAAATGCATCATTATCGATACCCAAGCAAAAATCATTATCAGAGTTGAGCTTGGGGCTTAAGATAACTTTTTTGTCATTCAGAAAATCGGAACAAAAAGAGATTTCTGGGAATGTACCAAGTCAATGGTCCGATATCGGAAATCACGAATATTATGGCAGGGAGGCATGACTAAGTACAATCTACAGGGTCTCTCTGATGCTCCGACAAAGTAGCGAAAACGAGGCCAAACCAACATTAAAAAGAGATTTCATTCGCTTAAATATAATGCAGTGGGGCCATCGAATTTCTGCATCTCCGGAATCACCTTCTGGGCAGCTTGAAATATGAAATAGCTATTCAAGAAGTCCCAGACAGTCAATTCCGCCAAAATAAGTCACGATCTCTAAAATTGTTGCTTATTTATCATGGATACAGGGTATGATTCGTGTGAAATTCCGTTTAAAGTCTCCCAAAGGATGTTAGTATAACCGACTAGAGAGCATGTAGAGGCGGAAATTGACAGAGGCCACCGTTTAAGTGTATGCTCATTCTCTAAATTCTGGGAAGGCTGGCAGCAGCTAGATTTATTTAACTGGGCTCAGTGTTCAAGACAACTCAAGACTTCGATACATCCTACCCAGCCAAAAAGGGTATTCCACACAGGAAACAGTGAGGCCCTGCTCATAAATCGGTTGTCATAGAGCAAGATGATGGTTAAATCCAAAGTGCGAAGCGTTCTTATCGCTAGATCACATTCTGCTAGAAGGCTTCAAGGCGCACATTCTCAAAGTAATATTAACTCTTGTTGCAGTCGAGGCGGCATATCAACAGTCAAGCATGCTATCGGACAGACCCAGATTGCCAGACGACCGAGACAGAGTAGAGTGCTCCAAACGGTTGGGTCTACTACACTTAAGCCTCAAAAGAAGAATATCGCTATATCGTGCGGTATGATTTGTTATGAAAATGATGTAGATAAATAGCATTTTACCTTGACAAATCTGGAAGGAGAAAAAAAATTATAATTAAAAATACATCGTGGATTTCTCGTCAACGTAAAATTCCGGGCTTGAAATTCTATAACTTCTTCTCTGCATACATGAATACATGCATGTAAATACCTAGTAAAAAGTTAAAGACTGAAGATAAGCTGATGAGAAGGACGATAAGGATACGCTTTCGTATATATTTAGTAGTTATGTCTCGAAATAATCTTATAGTGTAGTTTTTCTCACAAAGATGTGTAGATCACGCAATGCGGTTTAGGTCAATTTAACATTGTGGTGGAGACTTTCATCTCGTATGATATTGCCCAATGAATAGATTAGTTAGCTGATCTCACCGGAAGAAGACGGCTAAGTCTCGTCCTGCGCCAATTTGTCTCCCCTTATATGATTGTCATCATCATAAATGAAACTCATTCTTGCCAAGGCTTCAAGTTAATATGAAGCCAAGAAGACCATCCGGATCTAGCCTACATACTATACATACTCATAATTAAGAATAATGGACTTAGAATGATTTTATTATTTCTCTTACATGCAAGTTTGAGTAATTATACTTGAATTTGTGCGCTTGTGTGTTATTGTTAGTGCGCGCGTAAGTCATAGTACCCAATAACGACACTAACTCAAAGTAATTACCAAAAATCATGGCGCAGGCGCAAGTCATCAGTGTTCAATAGCCCAAGGAAAAGTATTGCTGGGGTTGTGTACGCCTGAAAGTAACTTTGCCTGCACGCATAAGGTTATTAAACCACAATTTCCCACCATTCTATGGTCATTAAAGTTTACCGACCCAATGAAGAGCATTACTGAGATTGCGTTACTTGGTAGGTTTGATTTGGTTGATGAGCTTAACAGGTCTGTTGAACGAATTAAGTCGCCTTCTTTTGATTGGCGATTCAATACCTTCTTTCTCTTTCAGCCTATCAGGCAAGTATAAGTCAATCTTAATCCCCTAATCTATTAATTTTATTATCCTTTCTTGAAATCATACTATCTTATTTTGGCTCTGCTTGTGGATGGTCCCTTTGACCGCTTATATTGATGGATTAAAGAGCAAGGAATGTTTAATTGTTAGATTATATGTATGCCGTAGATAAGCTCAATTCGAACCACATATATAATGATTTGGATTAATTATTTTATTTTTCTGGTCTTTTTATTCATGATGGGCAATTGTTTAAATTTTTAATGGAGAAGCTATTTCTTTCTCAGTTGCTATCACCTGCAATTTCTTGCTAGAGGCTAGCGGGATCTATTTTATACGCCACTCTGACAAGCCTACCTAGTTTCACACAAAGAGCATAAATATATACTAGCTTTCCTTATTTCACTCATC